ACCTGCCCAGTGGCTGACTTGGGGAAACCCGAGGCAGAGCAGCTCCAATTGTCCAGCTGCCTGGAGCACTTCCAGGTTCCAGGTGGTGCCAGACTAGCAGGAGTGCTGGACCACTGGATGCTGGACAACTGGAGTTCCACTGTACATGAAGACAGTGGTATCTGCTGCTTAGCTACCATGTGCCTTAGATAACTAAATCAGACAGAGCAATGCTAGAGATTTGTCCTGGGTATCATCTCACTTCTCCAGACTTAACTACAAATAGAATGCACAGCTGAACAGCAGCAGTGGGGAAAGCTAAGGTTAATTTACAAAAGGTCCCGAGAGAAAAAGGTGTAAGAACACCGAACAAAGTGTACAGGTAATTCATCAGTCCCCATCTTAACACTAACTCCTTTCACTCATCTCTAAATAATCCCCTGTAAATTTAGCTGCTCATGAGCAAATTACATTCAAGGTGGCTGGAGCACAGAGAAGTGTGCAGAATTGCTGAGATGATGGAGAAAGACAAACTTTTTAATTGCTTCAGAGGGGTAGCCGAGTTAGTCTGTAAAATGAAAAACTTAAAAAACAACGAATAGTATAATACCTTAAAGACTAACAAAACATGCAGATAGTATGAGCTTTTGTGGGCAAAACTCACTTCTTCAGATGACAATAAAGAATGCCAAATCCTCAGTAAAGCAAAAACTTCCCATTACAAATTAGCACAACAGCACACTTTTCCTGTGCATGTTCCCCAAAAGCTGCCCTTGGAATATTCGGGGTAAACAACTACTCAAGCAATGAACTGGAGATTAAGGCTAAAACTCCCTGTCTCCAGTAACCCTGAGGACAAGTGAAATCATCTTTGGTAGCATAAGCCCCCGAGTACAAAGTCAGGCCACTCCAATTTGCTATGGTCTGTTCACCTAAGGTAGGAAGCAAGATCCTACATCAAGAAGGAGAACTCAGTGTGCACACACAGGCCATGAAGTTTGGGTGAGTCACTGCAGGGAGTAGCTCTGGTACAGTCAGACCTTAAGTTCCCTCTAAGCCGCGAGGCCATGCAATGGGCTATAAAGGGTATGTGTAGGTGTGCGGTCACAAGGATCTGGAGAGCAGAGAGGTAGGGGATGGTCAGGGAGGGGAGCAAATTGGGAGGTGCTGCCAGCAGGGAGTGTCCTCTGACCCAAGACCTGGGGGAGTTTGCACTCCAAACCCTCATCCACAGCTCCACCTCAGAGCTGGGATCCCCAGCCAGAACCCTCACTTTCCTGCATCTTCTGCCCAATCCTCTGCCCTAACTGTGAGCTGCCTCCTGCACCCCAAGCCCATCATTCCAGCCCTCCCCAGAGAGCCCTCCCCCCGCCACTCTAACCCTCTGCCCACCTTCCTCCCATACTGTAAACCCCACAGTGCCACACCCTCCATATTGGTGCACATAATAAAATTCATTCCTCACATGGATAGAAAACAGAGGGAACATTGTCTCTCCAAGCACGTGACCCTAGCACTCACAAAATGAAACAGGAAAACTAGTCTGTCCCCAGGTGCCAGCCATTTAGGAACTGGCCCGTTTCCAAAGATTCCCATCCCTCTGCTTAGACAGACATACAGACAATTGGTCCCTAGTGTCTCACATGATTTGACAAGAGCCACAACTCCAACAAGATGCATCACAAACAACGGTCTTATCAGATGATGGTTCTGAGCAGAGACAAATGCAATTCAGAAAAGCTTGGGATTCTGCAGACACGGGAAAGTGAGGGGTCCTGTGACAAAGGGCTCACAGGAATGTAGGGCTTTCTGAAACAAGAACATTTTGTGCAGTCATCAGTCCCATCTCTGCCGGGAATGAGGGGTTACCTTGGCGACAGTTTGTTCAGCAATAGTGCTTGGCCGACGCTGACGAGCATCAAGTCTCTGCTCCACAGGGAAGCTACTCCGATGTGACTTGAGTCTCTCCACTAACAGGTAATAGATAGCAGCAAAGTGGTTATAACTCTTGTTCTGCAGAGACTGAAAAGAGAAACATAAGGGTCTAAATGCAGCCGACAATGTGAATCTCTCCTAGGGGAGGGGAAACCTGAGCCTCCATTCCTCAAAAACCACAAAATAAGGAAGTAGGAGAAAAACCTTGCTTTTATCAAAACTAAACGCTTAAAGGGTGAGGGGGACTCAAGCAAGTGTCCATCTGGGGAAAGTTTCAAGCCAATATGGCCTTGCAGAGAGCATGTCACCTCTGAGGCTCAATGGTTCTTAAATGAAGAAGACCAGGTTGTTGCAGCTGCATGTGGGCGCCTATATCCAGCACTAGTGCTCACTGAGTTCCTATTTGCAGTGATAGTTGGTGTCTGTAACCCCCATGCCATTTTGAGCCCTTTAAAACTGTTTCTCAGTCCTCTGAGGGGAGCAAGCTCCATGACCTCGCTATACAGGGTTGGCAACTCCAAATCCTCACCGGTTCTTGGGACTGAGCTCGGGGGTGCCAGCGCACAGACTCAGCCCTTTCCGGCAGGAAGTGTTAATGGTGCAGCCTCCACACTTGCTAAAAATACCATCCGTTCTAAGGAAATGAGCATGCGGAGTCCTGAGGGAGTCTTTTGAGCAGTCTGGTAAGAGGCGTGATTTGGAATCCAAGAGAGAAAGACAGTCAGTACTTGCTGCTCTTGTGCTTCCTTCTGACTTTCACATCCTCATTCTCTCAGAAGTGTCAGAACATGCTACTTTGCTTCTGATTTTGCCCTTTTCCATAGGCCATCAATGCTTTCCCCAATACCATCCCATGAATCTAATGGAGCAGAAACCAACAAAGCTCCTCTGCTTTGCTTTTCTGCCTAAGAATCAGCTTTATAGTCAACACAGGATTTGGGGGAGGAGGTGGAAAGGGAGCCTATAAGAGGCAAGTTTCTGCATCCCAACAGGAGATTTTACAGGGCTATTACTTTACAAGGTCTGCAGCCTGGAAAGTCCCACTAGAATTATTCACAGGCACTGCAGTTTGTTCTGTGATCCGCTATAAGAAATTGCAACCCCAAATGCTTGCAAGTGCATATTAGCTCACATAAAAATACCAGCCAATAATTAATCAGTGAACCACCTCCCAGTTCTGGAGGTCCTGGGATGCATGAAGTGAATTCATTAACCTTTCTCCTCTGGAGGCACAGTTCCAGTTGTAAGGCCCAGCACAAACAAAAGTTAATTAGGTGACTTCTTCCCAGGTCCCAGTTTTTACAGAAGCCTCACACATTTTGCTATAACTGGCAGTATCTGCACCATAGAAGCCTAGCGGCTGATAAGCCTCCAGGAAAACCTTTTTAAGAGACATTCCCATTCCTTTGATCTCTCTTATTTATCAGTTACAAGGACTTGCGGCCAAAGGTGGCTAGAGCAGTTGTTGCAAATGGCAGGATTCTTAAACCTCCCAGATGCTGGAATATATCTTCCGTAACTTGCCTTCCCTTGCTATGGTCTGTGCAGCTGGTACTAGAGCAGCAGCTTGACTTTGCTGTGAGAGTAACAAAAAGAATATTATGGGTAAACTCTAGATTAATTAAGAAGAGCAAATGGGCTCCCTCTGGGGTTGTATCTCAGTGGAAGGTCTCTTTTACCTCAATAGTTTTCTGTTGGTCTATTCCCAGGCTGTGCATCAGCCGCAAAACCTGCTCATTATACTCTCCGATGGAAGGCTCGTTCTCCTGTCCTGGTGGATAGAGAATGGGTCTCTGCACAGGAACTTCTATTAGCATCCATTTATGCTCCTTAATCTGAGCAACTGACAATCTCTTGGCTGGGTCTAGGACCAGCATTCTCCTGATCAGATGCTCACACTCTGTTGGGATAAAAATAAAGTAAGAAAAGGGAACAAGCTACAAACTCCTGGCAAAGAGACTACAGTGCGCACATACTGTATTAATCTGAAACTGCTCGATGAAGAGCAACAACAGAAAACAGTTACTTCTACCTAATGTTTCCTCATTGTCTATGATCAAGAGTGACAGAGAAAGACCCAACAATCAGATCAGTTATACAAGGAAAAGATACGACAGTTTTACAACAACAACATGTCAGTGTACCACATCCTTGGTGTATGGACTGGTTATGTGGTTTGTGGCACTTTTCTTGGGGTTTGCTTGTTTGTGTTTTGCTTTTGTTTCAAAGATGCAGTCAAAAGACACAGGAAAACCCAATCTGCATTATGTTAAAATTATGGTGATTTTCTTTTCCCTGTGTTTGCTTTTCACACTAAAATGAACGTTTGTTTTGTTGCCTTGGAGAATGAAAAGTACCTGCTGTTTGACTTAGTCCCAAGTAGGAAATGGAACTCTCCTCTTCCTCTACCATCATATTCATTGCTCAGTAATGACCTAGTTGTCTTGTCCCCCAGCTGCAGTTTAAGAGTTTCGTTTAATCAGAACTTAAAATCCCCAAAGCATAAGGACAAATATATTACCTTCTGACATGAAATAAGGAATCCTGAATCTTCCTTCCAGAACCCGTTGTCTCAGAATAGGAAGCGTAGGTCCATCAAAAGGTAATGCTCCACAGACTAGGACATAAAGAACTACACCCATGCTCTGCAAGACAGAGAACATTTCTGCTTTTACCATTCAGAGGCACACAAGCACTCTCTGCTCTGAGATTTGCTCATGAAACTGCAGGCTATCACTGAACAAATTAAAAGTTGTTTCTACTTTCTGCAGAAACAGTGTTAAAGAAAAAGGAGTCACATACACCTGAAAATCCCTAAACTGTAAGACCTCAGCTAACCCAAAATGGCTAAGTTTGCAAGTGCCTTTGGCTTACACGTAGGCAATGCTGCTGTGGTTACTGAACTAAAGACTCTGGCTGCGAGTGCAAAGCTCCATACGGGTGACTGAACGGTACGTGAAAAATGAGCCTTTGCCTCAAGATTTAAAGTCACTCTTGACTACATCTGAGTATGTTCAAACGAAAAGCCTTCCCCAAATTCCAGTTGTTCACAACACAGAAACCTCAACCTTTCCTTTTCAGTGGCTTGCAAAGATTTAAGGGAATAACCCCATGATGTTTACATGAACTGTGACGGCAGTGATTCTGCACAGCAAGGCCCTTTAGAGGGATTACGTAAGACGTGAAAAAGAGATACGCGACCAGAACAATAGCTTGAAGCCAACTGTCAGTTTCATTTCTGAACTGGTGTGTGTCAATGGGTAATCTAAGTGCAATCAGTAAGCAAAATTTGCCGAAGAAGGTAATGCCATATGGAATTAAATGACAATACTGTACCAGGCCCTAGGGACATGAGTCTGTATGGGAAGACATGGCACTAGGTGTCTCAAGGAAAAGGACAAAAACATTCTAAATACACACCAAAAATGTGTCAGTATACTGCAATTTTAAAACGATAGATATTAAAATTAATTGTCTTTCTCCATTTATCTGCCAAATCCTGAATTGAGGATGGTCTTCTTCCTTTGAACAAAGCTTTTTTAGAGACCATTCCCATTTAGCTGCTGTAGCAGTTGTCAGCTGTAGCAGAAGACAGGCAGTATCCTGAACTCAGGTCTTGGCAGGTTATGTGAAGGAGGAAACTGTTTTTCTGATGTTTTACTTTACAACGTGAATACACTTGTGATGTTTTTGATAGTGAGTGGAGATTAGGGATGTTAGAGTTTAACCAATCAAACAGTCAACCGCTAAGCATTATCTTATTGGTTAACCTTACAAATTAAACTCTCAGCCAGCACGGGAGCTCAGAGGTCTGGCAGCCCACGGAGTGTTTAACCGTGTAACCGATTGAAATTCAATTGGTTTACATGGTTAATTAAAAAATTAAATTTCCATTCCTAGCCGAGCCCTTAAACAGCTTTACCAAAACTGTACAATTCACTTTTCTCAAACACCGCTCCTGTTATTTTGAACCTTGTGCAAGGTTGGAGAATAATGGATTCATTTGGCAGCTGCAGGATAATATAACCTTTGCTCATTAAAAATGAGTGTTTAGAAGGACAGTGTTTATTTACTAAAACAACATGGATCTCTGTAAATGAGCAGCTGCAATGTGAATGTCTATGCAGTCCCTTGCTTGCAAACTGAGCTTACTCAGAAATTAATCTGCATCTCTCACGTGTATGCAGTATTAGCAAGTGCGCTTCTGGCACCAAAGCACAGACTGATGAATTGTACTGTATCTTTGGGTGCTTTAGAATACGGACACATCATCATCAAGACCAGACCACTAAAACCAGATTAAAAACAAGAATGAAAAGTCACGTCTGACAGTGCACTGAAGAGAGCAAGGAACTCTGCTCAGTGTGTTTTTCTCCCTCTTTCATTTCATGCCATTTTGATTGTTCTCTCTGTCCTCTTCTATTAGAGTAACAGCCAGGGAAACACACACACAAATTCAACAATATGCACTTGCCTGCAGCACAATGGCATGGGGCACATAGCTTCTCTCTCTCAACTCAGAGAGAGGGCAGCCAGCAGCTTTGAGTTAGTGACTCAGACTCATTAACAATTTACATCTTGAACTCCCTGCAGGAGAAGGAAGTCGTGCAGTGAAGCAGGGACATTCATGCAAAGAACCTATTCAGAGTCTCACATTCAGCAAGGAATAGTGACAGCTTTTTGATTTAGCTAAATTATTTTTTGCAATGACTTGATGTGCACCTACCATGTGACCTTAATGTCAATCTGGAATTCAAAATGACTTTACAAACAATCTCCTAGGCTTCAAAACAATTGGGCCCTCAGGTCATTGCATGACTTGGTCTAGGAAAAAAAGCCAGAGGGGAACAGCTTGTCTTGTGGCCTAAATGAAAATTCAGAGGGGATTACAATGTTAAAAATGTCTAACAGGTGGTTTTAATCTAATACATAAAAAGGTACCCAGATATCCAGTTGAGGTCCTTCATACTGCTGTCCTTCAAAGACTTCCGGAGCTGCATACGGGGGGCTTCCACACCAGGTGGTCAGAGGCTCACCACTTTTATAGAAATTTCCAAACCCAAAATCTATAAGGGGGGAAAATAAACATATTTCAACACATCTACATTTTAACAGCTACATCCACCAATGACCTGGTGCTGATAAGCACTGACTGGGCCCAAAAGCCCACTTTTTTTTCATAACTCTAGATTTCCTGCAGCAACCCAAAACAGTTAGGCTGTGTCTACACTGGGCCACTTATTCCGGAAAATCAGCCGCTTTTCCGGAATAATCTGCGAGCTGTCTACACTGGCCCTTGAATTTTCGGAAAAGCAACGATGCTCTACTGTACAAAATCAGCCGCTATTCCAGAAAAACTATTCTGCTCCCGCTCGGGCATAAGTCCTTATTCCGGAACACTGTTCCAGAAAAGGGCCAGTGTAGACAGCCCAGTAGTCATTTCCGAAAAAAAGCCCCGATCGCGAAAATGGCAATCGGGGTTCTTTTCCGGAAAAGCGCGCCTACATTGGCCACAGGTGCTTTTCCGGAAAAAGAGCTTTTCCGGAAAAGCAGCCTGCCAATGTAGACACGCCTTTTCCGGAAAAACTGAAAATGGAATAGTATTCTGGTTTTAAGCATTTCCGGAAATTCATGCCAGTGTAGACACAGCCTTACTGTTTTTCATTCACAGTACAGGTGAACTACATAAGAGTAACTGCATAACTAGATTTGTCCTCAACCAGCAAAATGCAGTGGTTAATTTCTACCATTGGGGTAAATTTGGGATTATAACAATGTAATCATCTAATTAAGCGAGAGAGTGGCTGTGTGTGCTGAGCTTCTTACTCACATATGCATGCCTGAGATTCAATACTGAATCTGAGAGGCTCCTTGGGGTACAACAAACACTGACAACTATGGCATCAATTTAGCCAGAGTTCCAAAAGCCTCCACAAATAGCAAGTAGGTGAAAACACACAGGGCCTTGTATTGGTGAGAAACCCTGTCACTGGCCCTTCTACAAATCTTTATTGCTAAAAGGGGGCTTCACAACGGAACACGCACTTTGGGACAACTCCGCAATTTAAAAAGTGTTCTTCATGGTCTAAAAAAGTGACCTCATTTTGGAACTTTTAAATCTTAAATGCAATCCTAAACAATTCAAAATCCAAAATGCCCAGGTAACTACTTAGTGAGACTTAATTCATAATAAATCAGTAAAAAAACAGTTTCAGGTTCTACACAACTTCTCCCCACAGTTATTTTCCAGTTTATGTAGTTTTACTATCATATTTTTCCACTATCTAAAAAAATACTAAACAGAGCAGATAAATTACTGACTATAATAAAGGTTATTATTATAACACTAATACCTCAAGGCTCCTTTCCATTATGCACTGTATGTACACATCAGTGCCTTGAAGGGTTTAAAGTCTAAACAGACTACACTGACAAAGGGAGGGGAACCAGAAGCTCAGAGAGAGAAAGTGATTTGCTCAAGGGCACACAGCTGGTCAGTGGCAGAACATAAGTCCAGGATCACTGATGGGAGAGGAAGGGAGAGAGAAGGAGGCAGTTGCCCTGGGCCCTTTGAAATGCAGCTGGAGCCCCGGGCAATACTGAAGGGCTGGCTGGGGGAGGCTAGCTCCCATCCTTCTGCCCAAGGCTCCACCCCTTCTGGGGTCCTGAATCTGGGCCACCTCCTACCTTGACCAGGGCCTCAGGAAGTCTGTCGGACATCCTGCTTAACACACACAACCTTGGTTTCCTGAGTCCTAGTCCAATAACCTATCTGTTGGGAAATGCTGCCTTGGCCATTGTGGAGAGTGTTCCCAGTGGAAGCCATGTACAAAGGATCCCACCTGTGGGCCACGTGTTGAGCCCCACGTAAACCCAAACCGCGCTGTGGGCTGCAAACAAATGGGCTGCAGGCCTCATGCGGCCCCACATGTTGAGTAGCCCTGGTCTACAAATTTGTATACACAGAGTCAATCCCTTAGCTCTCTCTAAAAGTGCAGTTTCAAAAAGTTCAATGAACAGAAGCCAGTATTTTAAGTTTCTCATGTTGACCTGGCTGACTGTCAATTTCATTTTAATTTTACAAATATTTCATGTAGCTATTTTAGTTAAAAGCAATTTTAAACAAAAGCAAACTTGATTTTAAAAAACTTGAGAAAGTTTAAATTAAAAAAATGCATATGTTTGTTTTGTTAAAATATTATGTTGGCGAAGAAAAAATTCAGAATATATATCATTATTTTTTAATTAAATAAAACAATTTAAAATGTCTGTCTGGAGATGCTCGCCTCCTAATACAGCAAGACAAAAAAATCCTCCAAATATTAATGATTAACCTGTTGAATTGGAGACAACTTGCCTCCTAATGACTTCATAAATATTTGCTTCAATTACCTTTGGTAAACGAAAGAACCAATCATTCATTTTTTGATATAGCTATAAAACTAACCTGAAAAGTTTTCAAAAGGAAACACTGTTTAAAAATGTATAGTGCATACCTTCTAATAATGAAACCTACATCTATCTCTGAATTGTGAAGAATATGTATTAAGGATATCAGAACCAGCAAGAATGCACTTTTATGTAGAAAACCATGATTAAATTGAGTCTACCTGACCCGTGATTCAAATCATGATTTAAATCAAATCCACCTTCCTTCCTCAGATTATTCTTTGTTCCAGCAGGCCCTGGTTAGGCTCTAGACTAGACATACTGCAACATAAGGCACAAGATGTTTGCTATGACTGCCATAGTACTTTGATGCTGAACGGATTCCACGCTTACCCTGCTATTGCATCTGCATGGATAAAAAGGGAAAAAAGGAACAAAAAGATTGTTTGCTGTTGCTTTCAAGTGGGGGAGGGAAGGAGGAGAAATTAGTGCTCTGTAGGATGCTGACAACATGTACACAGAACCTCCCGCTGCACTTTCTTGGTTCCATCGTGCACTGGAAATCTAACCCAGAATGCAAAGGGGCAGCAGGAACAGTGGGATAGCTACTCACAGTGCATCACTGTCAAAGTCAACAGTAGCCCCGTACTGGGGACACACAACATGGAAGTCTTGCACACAGTCCACCTACAACTTTACAAAATCAGGTGCTAAAAAAATCAATCTTCATAAATTTGACCTTATCTCGTAGCGTAGACAAGGCCTGAAGAAGCATCAAAACTTACTTAACACAAACATAAGAGGAGCCATACAGCGTTAGATCATCTAGCCCAATATCTTGTGTTCCAACGGTGGACAATAAAGTGCTAGAAGACAACACAAACTGGAAAAAAACCGAGAGAAAGTCCATTTGCTCCACTCTCTCACAGTTACAGTCATCATAGCAGTTACATGTATCAGTAGGTATAAAAGCATTCAGTGTAATTTTTAAGCTGATGTCCCTGGCAGGCATTGACTGGTGATTTGGACTTTGTCTCTGGAAAGGTTGCTTTTGCATAGCTATTAACTCTGACTTTAAAGAGAGCAGTTATGTGCCATGCACCTTGTCCGTGCATGTGCAGTGGACAGCCAGTTCTTTAACTAATGAATTACTAATTCAGGACAGCAGGGACAAAATAGACCCATGCTCAAAGTGCCACTAAGGTGTCCATTGCCACAGTACATGTTAACCCTCTAGCTGCTTGACTTCCATACACACATTTTCTGAACACCTTCAACACTGAACACAACTGATCGAATCTGCCTCTCTGCTGTTACTTCTAGCCTTCCTTTTTTTCTCCCTTTCCTCTGTCCACGCTTCACCCCCTTTCTAATTCATTCATACGTGGCTCAGTGCCTTCTACCATATTCTCTTTTATCATTCTCCCTCTTCCTCCTACACAGTTTCAAATTCTCTCTCTGAACCCCTTCCTTCAACAAAGCCATTCAGTGCTCACACACACCGTGGAGTTAACTATTTGATCAAATACTTTAAAAATAAACCTCCACTGCAATGCTTCTGCTCATTGCTTTTGAAATTCTGACTCCACTATGTCAGAGAAGGTTTTGACACTGACTTCAGTGGGGCCAGGATTTCTCCCTTGCTTTGTGAGGGAGATTTTTTTTTCCAGATACCACCAGAAGCATTAGGTCCTTGGGCCACGGACCATTCTGTACGGAGTAAAACACTGTTGGCACTTGAACAAAGAGGAAGAAAAACTCTGAGATGAAAGGGATAGCAGTAAAGGGAGTGGGATGGACGTATTTTTTGTTTAAAAGCATTCCTGACAAAACCCAGCTTCAATATTAACTAGTGGGCTGTATTTCTGTAGGAAACTAAGGCCTGGTTGTGACATGAGTCAGGGTACAATCTAGACTGTTTAATAGTTGTGTTTCCATTGTTCTCCAATCTGGGGTGCCTTTGATATGGCTTTACTTTGAGAACTCACAAGGCACATTTTGTACAAAATTTATCATTCTCCAATAAAAAGAGTAGACTATACAGACTGTCATGCTGGTCTACATTAGAAAACTAAGTCAATTTAACTATATTAGTCACGTGTGGAAAAAACCCACACCTCTGAGCAGCATTGTTATGCTGACTTTGTTCACCAAGTAGACCGCTCTAATGTGATTAAAGAAGTAGCTACTGCCTCTCGCAAAGGTAGATTATATACACCAACAGGCGCATATCTTCCATTGGTATAGGCAGCATCCACATTTACGCACTACAGTAGAGCAGCAGCCAAGGTGTGCCGCTGTAGCATTTTAAATGTAGATAGGCCCTGAGACATGTAACATTAGCAGGTCACAGGCAATCTAAGGCCCACTATCCCATGTACCATTCAAAACAACTCCACGTACACTCAGTATTAGTCTAACTTGGTATTAGCCAATTTTAGCATCTCCCTGAAGTAATGATCCTGTTCATTTTTTCACAGAATAGTAAGTCATATGATAAAAGATTTCAGGTTATATAATTTCAGGTGATAAAGCTTTCCCTTCTAAGTAGCTGAGCTTTTAATATGTAACTATACACTGGTGTGACTTGAGGAATTTTGTGAAAGTCAACAGTGTTGATATACAGTAATCAGGCTGTTGATTTAGTCCTACCAACTGTTGAATACCTCAGAGGCAT